CTGCTGAACTTAAGTCTTCTCCAATTTTTACTAATATCAAGGCTCTCAGGCGGGAACTTAAGTTTGGAATTTCTGGCCATTTCTGGCCAGGTTTCCCCACTCTCAGTATGAGCTAGAGGGCTTCCCATATATATAGCCTTTCAACAGTAGAGACACACAGTCATTTGGGGGAAAATTGTCACTTCCCACTAGCTTCAATAGGCTTTGAACAAGGTACCTGATGACTATGATCACACTGTAACAAAAAAGGTCATATTTATTTGTTCTTTCAGTCTGTTCTCCTTGAACATTCGACTATGCTTTGTGTAGTCAGCAATGTGCCATGTTCTTCATACTGTTAGAAGCAAAGGCTTGCTAGTGAAAGATGCTTAGCTTTAAAATAACTCTTTAATCCTTTGAACATGCTAAGATGACAGGCATTACTCTGGAGCTTGGGAAATGTCATGATCACTGAAGCAGCATCAAAGGTAGATAGCTTTAAAGCAGTTAAAATGGCACTGTTTCTTGGTTTGTAGGTGAAATGTCAGAAAGTGTATTTTGTCTTCATATAGATTTGATATTGGCTGCCACCTTCAGTTGCATCCATTCCAAGTACAATCACAACCAGAAAAAATGCTAAGTAAAATATAAAAATTGACAGATGCAAAGTACAGCATAGTGGTTAAACTCAGGAAACAAGGTCTAGTTTAATTTAGATGTCTAAGTTTCATGTGTCTCTGAAGATATTTTATGTGCAGGTGTATGCCTGTCCATTTCCATGCTGATACCTTTCCTTCCCTACAAAGACACAGCTCACCTAATCTTAACTAATCAGAATCCATCCAAATAATTATAAAGGCCACTTTGGATATTGTAGTTATAATTCTCCTCTCCCTGTTAACCTGTGTAACTGTTAACTTCAGTGGAACTACTTCTCACTGGCTAAAAATGAAAAGAAACTCAGGTCTTTAATTTGTCTACAGAATCTAAATGCACTTCTACAGTGTATTATGGCTCCACTGCCAACCTCTCCAATATATTTAATATACATATGTTGGTCACTACTTCATCTCGTAACAGGTGTTGAAATTTTAACTTCAGGTGAAGTCAAGTGCCTTGCCTCTGTGGGCAATTGTCAGAGACCCAGTTCTTATCTCCTGTTCAGTTAGGGAAAGCCATGGAAGCAGCAATCTCAGAAGAAAGAAAATTAACTGGTTCAGGTAAGTTTCAGCCAAACATTTCCTGGAAACTCAAACACTTTTTTGAATTTCCAGGAAAAGAACCTAATCTGCACTAGTCAAAGAAAATATTTGAGCAGCACCTTCATTCATAATTTTAATACCTGATTTTAGTAGTCTGAACTCTTTGGATGAATGGTGCTAGCAAAGGTAAATATTCATCCCCAGTTTACAGAATGTGAAACTAAGATGCAGTGGTACTTCAGGCCTGACTCGATTAAATCATTTAGGCTCCTTAATGGATGTAGATGCTTACGTGTGATTGTCTTTCACCTTGCTTGAGTCCCTGAAAAAACATAAATGATCTACTTTCGTAATACACCCTCACCTTGACCTTAAGACTAAGTCACAAAAAGCAGCAAGCTGCTTTTACAGTTAACTGCATCTGAGTCCTTAGGTCACCTTAGGGGCCTAATAAATGGAACAGGATCAAGCCCCTTGCATCCAAAGAAAAGTCAGTCAATCTGAGAGCCAGCTGATTTGGCTCCAAGTCCTTACTCCTACTCTAATGCAATGATTCTCAGCCAAAGTCCTGCAGCACCCTTGGCTGCCATGCAATACTTTGACAGTGGTGCTAGATGTGAAGAGATAAGTAGATCAGGGAAGCTCAGGTTTATTCCTGCCTGGATGATCCGCAACCCACACTGCTTGGCCCTCTGCAAGAAGGTAAGCACTGTAATACATATATTAGTTTCTGATATTAGGTGCCACTCAATTACAGAAGTTGTGGAAAAGTGCCTTGAGTCCAGGGAGGGGTGCCTTGAATCCCAAAAGGTTGAGAACCACTGCACTAATTAGCATCATAGAAATCATAGAAAATAAGGGTTGGAAGGGACCTCAGAAGGTCATCTAGTCCAACCCCCTGCTCAAAATGGGACCATCCCCAACTAGATCATCCTAGACAAAGCTTTGTCTAGCTGGGTATAAAAACCTCCAAGTATGGAGCTTCCACCATTTCTCTGGGTAACCTGCTCCAGTGTTTTACTACCCTCCTAGTGAGAAAATTATTTGTAATATGTAACCTCAAATTTCCTTGCTGCAACTTGAGACCTCTTCTCCTTGTTCTGTTATCTGCCACCACTGAGAACAATCCAGCTCCATCCTCTTTCAAACCTCCCTTCAAGTAGTTGACGGCTGCAATGGAATCCCCTCTGTCTTCTCTTCTCCAAACTAAATAAGCCCAGTTCCCTCAGCGCCTCCTCAGAAGTCATGTGCCTTAGCCCCCGAACCATTTTTTCTGCCCTCTGCTGGACTCTTTCCAATTTGTCCACATCCTTTCTGAAGTGGGGGGCCCAAAACTGAGCACAATACTCCATATTGTGAGTGCTGAATAGTGCTGAATAGAGGGGAATAATTACTTCCCTTGACCTGCTGGCAACACACCTACCAATGCAGCCCAGTGTGCCGTTAGCTTTCTTTGCAACAGGGGCAGTGTTGGCTCATACTCAGCTTATTGTCCACTGTAACCCCCAGGTCCTTTTCTGCAGAGCTGCTACCCAGCCAGTCAGCCCCCAGCCTGTACCAGTTGGTGCATGGGATTGTTTCATCTTAAGTGCAGGCCTCTACACTTTTCCTTGTTGAACCTCATGAGATTCCTTTTGGCCTAATCCTCCAATTTGTCTAGGTCACTCTGAATCCTAGCCCTACCCTTCAACGTATCTACTACTCCCCCCAGCTTGGTGTCATCTGCAAACTTGCTGATGGTGCACTCTCTGCCATCTTCCACGTCATTGATGAAAACATTGAACAAAACTGGCACCAAGATCGACCCCTGGGGCACTCCATTTGATACTGGCTGCCAACTAGATATTGAGTCATTGACTATTACCCTCTGAGTCCAATGCTCCAGCCAGTTTTCTATTAACCTTAGAGACCATTCATCCAGCCCCATACTTCCTTAGCTTGTCTGTGAGAATGTTATGGGAGACCATATCAAAAGCCTTGCTAAAATCAAGGTCCACCACATCCACTGATCTCCCTGCATCCACAGAACCAGTCATCTCATCATAGAAGGCAATCAGGTTGGTCAGGCATGTCTTGCTCTTGGTGAATCCATGCTGACTATTCCTAATCACCTCCTTCTCCTCCAAATGCTTCAAGATGGATTCCTTGAAGCAAATACTACCTGCTCCATGATTTTTCCAAGGACTGAGGTGAGGCTGACTGGTCTGTAGTTCCCTGGATCCTCCTTTTTCCCTTTCTTAAATATGGGCACTATGTTTGCCTTTTTCCAGTCATCTGGGACCTCTGCTGATCACCACAAGTTCTCAAAGATGATGGCCAGGGGCTCTGCAATCTCACCAGCCAACTCTCTCAGCACTCTCAGGTGCATCCCATCTGGCCCCATAGATTTGTATATGTACAACTTTTCTAAATAGTCCCTAACCTGTTCTTTCAACACTGTTGGCTGCTCACCTCCTCCCCAAACTATGCTGCCCAGCATAGGCAACTGGTAGAGGGTGCACGGGGGTGCAAGTGCCCTCCCTGATGGGGCCAGTGCCCCCCCTGACAGCCAACACTGATGCTGTTGTCAGGGCTGGTGCCCCCCTGACAGGGCCGCTGCCATTGGTGGCTTCTGCTGGTGCCCTTCCCAGATTTGGGAGGTACCAGTTGCTCATGCTGCCCAGTGCAATAGTCTGGGAGCTGACTTTGCCTGTGAAGACTGAAGCGAAAAAGACATTGAGCATTTCAGCCTTTTCTGCATCTTCTGTCACAAGGTTACCTCCTCCACTGAGTAAGGGACCACACTTTCCCTAATTCTCTTCTTGCTACTGACATACTTGTAGAAACCCTTTTTTTTTTACCCCTGATATCCCTTGCTAGCTTCAACTCCAATTGTGCTTTGGCTTCCCTGGCTTCATCCCTGCATGCCTGAGCAATACTCTTATACTCCTCCCTAGCTATTTGTCCAAGTTACCACTTACAAGCTTCCTCTTTGTGTGTTAGCTTACTGAAGAGTTCCCTGCTAAACCAAGCTGGTCTTCTGGCATACTTGCTAGTCTTCCTGTGTATTGGGATGGTTTGTTCCTATGCCCTCAGTAAGGTGTCTTTAAAGTACAGCCAGCTCTCATTCATGGACTCCTCTCCCCCTCAGACTGGCTTCCCAGGGGATCTTGTCCATGAGTTCCATGAGCAAGTCAAAGTCTGTTTTTTTCTGAAATCCAGGCTCCTTACTCTGCTGCTCTCCATCCTTCCTTTCCTCAGGATCCTGAACTCTATCAGCTTGTGGCTGCTGCTGCCCAAGTTGCCATCCCCTACTACATTCCCCACCAATTCTTCCCTGTTTGTGAGCAGCAGGTCAAGAAGAACATGGCTCCTACCTGGCTGCTCCAGTGCTTGCACCAGGAAGTTGTCCCCAACACTCTCAAAAAACTTCCTGGGTTGCCTACGCACTGCTGTATTGCCCTCCCAGCAGATGTCAAGTTGATTGAAGTCCTCCATGAGAACCAGGGCCTGTGATCTGGAAACCTCTGCTAGCTGTTTGAAAAAATCCTCATCTACCTCATCCTCCTGGTCTGGTGGTCTATAGCAGACCCCCACCATGACAGCACCCTTGTTACTTTCCCCTCTAACCCTAACCCAGAGACTTTCAACAGGCCTACCTCCAGTTCTGTACTGGAGCTCTGAGCATAGGCGACTGGTAGGGAGTGCATGGGGGTGCACATACCCCCCCAGTGGCTGACACTGATGCTGTTGGTAGGGCTGGTGCCCACCCTGACAGGGCCACCCCCATTGGCAGCTTCTACGGGTGCCCCCCTAGATTCAGGAGGCACTAGTCCCTCATGGCTCTGAGCAAGCACATAGCTCTTTTACATAAAGTCCAACTCCTCCTCCTCTTCTCCCCTGCCTGTCTTTCCTGAACAGTTTGTACCCATCTATGACAGTGTTGTAGTCATGTAAGCTCCCACCACGTCTCTATTATTTCAATCATGTCATAATTCTGTGACTGTGCAAGGACTTCTCTCTATACCTTTCCTGGTTCTGCCATATGGTCACCAGAGACTTTGCAATAGCCAGGCCAGTGAAATGTAAGACTTCTTGTTAAGGAATGAAGGCTCCATGAAACATTCCAGCAGATCCAGTCCACGGGAACCAAAGGCCAGATTCTTTCTGCCCTCTTGTAAACAAGGTAGTATTTGCAATAATTCAAGCATTACTTCACTAAGTTGTAAAGGTTAGCTTTGTTCTGGGATTTGTTTTCCTATAGCTGTTCCCATGGAGAAGTCTCTAATTCACTCACAATTCAGACTAGGCTAGAGGTGAAAACCTTGAAAGATCTGAAAAATAGGGTAGAATAGACATGACAGTGGGCTGGATGGAGGAAGGAGGAGGGCCTGATGGATCAATCGCTTGCCTCGCTTGCCTAGACACTTCACTAGCTGTTTTACGTTCACAATGCAAAGTAGTGAGTGCCAGTGACATTGGCTCATTAAATACATTTCCAAATGGAAACACTTTTTTCTGGAGAACAAACCTGGGGATGACATTTCACTTCAAAGTTTCTTGTTTCTGGCCCTCAATTCCCTCTTTCCTTTACTGTTGTTGAAGAACTGACCATTCACTTTTGATATATTCAAACTGAATCTCCACTTCTATTTGACACTCAGACCTGCTGTGCTTTCATCTGACTGGCTGTTTGGCACGTGTTTCAGAAGCAGGGAAGGGATTGTTTGTGTGTGAATGCAGGGTTTGAACAGCAAGAAGTACCTTTCATGGTTAAATTAATTACTTCATTACTATGGGCAAAAAAGTGAATACATTTGTTCACGCTAAGTAACACCTTGCTTAACAAGTAATCCCACTGACGTAGATTATTTAAATTGTAAGCTCTTTGCAACCAGAACTGTTTATGTATATAAACTACCTAGCACAATGGGGCCCTGATCCCCGCTAGCACAACACAAAAAGCTAATAAGCATATTGTCTTTGAAAGACATTTTGTCTTCAGGCACTGCTCTGATAATGCATCTCTTCTCTTTTCCCAGAGCACCATTGAATTGGAGGCATTCATTTTGCCCATGCTATACAAGACTGATTTTTTTCTTTGTTTTACATAAAGCACTGGGTTCCTGTGGGAGTTTCAAACCAGCACAAATCTATTCCAGTTATCAATCACTAAAAACACCTAATCTGACTAGTTATGGCTCAATTTATCTTGTCAGTACTGTATAATGCTAGATCATAAGAAGGGTTTCTACCTTTTTGCATTACATTCTTAAATGCTGTCTTTTAAGATTACTACTAGTTTTAAAGATCTTTTATAAAAAATTCCTTTCCAATATTACTTAGGATGCCATTAATGACTGTAATAACTTTTGGAGGTCTAAATTTCACTAGCCTATGCTTTGTTTACATTTCTTTCTCAATAGACAATGAAAATACAGCAGTCAAATGCCTTTGGTTTATGGTCCATATTTGTTTTAAAAAGGGCATGTATGAGCATAAAATTGCATGGTTTATGGTGCTGTTTAACTTAAACAGAGGTGACCAAACTAACCAAATCCAAATGATTTGTCAACAAACAGATGCTCAAGAAAACTAAAGAAATCTGACTTATGGTGTGAAGTTAAATTGCATTTCTCCTGTGTGAATTTAACCATCATTCAAAAGGCATTCAAATGAAGTGAACTAAGATTACTTTACATTAGAATTAGAGTGTTTGCACAGGGAGTTCATGTGTTTCAACTTCACAACTGTGTCTTAACTTTCCTGAGTGCCTCTGGGGACACTACTCATAATTGTTATGCCAACCCTTGTACCAAAAAGCAGCTTGCTTAGGTCTGTCTCATTATAAAGTTCTCCCATTGTGCTACGCATCTCCCAACCTAAGAAACCCCTTTGCCCTGAATCACTACTGCAGAAGTGCATGGAATGTGGTGTTGCAATCACAGCATGGGCTGTTTCAGCCCTTCTGTACAGCTGATCAACAATAAAAGGGAGCCTTGTTAAGCTCAATGTCCACTGGGTGCTCCTTACCTACTAACTGGATTTTGCTTACCTACTAACCGCCACCGCAACAGAACCGTACTTAACCCACACAACCTCTGTAACAATTGGCCAGGTATGACTGCAGTAGCTAAACTATGGTACTTTGGATAAGACCCTTTTTTACTTCATACAAAGTATCTGTATCAGTCATTCATAACATATATTTAATTAACGCCATTACTATAACACCACATGGTAAGATGTATTAAGGGTTTCAAGGCACTGACCAGAACTGTTCTCCTGACATTGCTTTTGACATACTGCTACCCCTACCTGGTTGCCTGGGTGCTGGGATAATTTCCAAAGGAGCGCAATGGAAGCTTGCTGAACGTCTGTACTGCTGGATGCAAGAAGGGAGAGCAGCTGGGGCAGGACATCCATAGCAATGATGTCAGCCTGGATGTGCACTGTTTGGAAAAATGACAAAGCAGCTCAGTGGGGCAGAATGCTGTTAGATGGTATGTGGTATGATTATGGACCAGTCTGAATGAACACTATACAGACTGGTGGCTAAAAGGGGCTGTCATAATAGATCTTCTGACCTATGCAGGCTAAGCCAAATCCTATGATTGCCAAACTATAAAAAATGAGCTTCATCTATTCTGCCTCCCTCTCCCATCATAATCTCCAGAGGGATAATACAGACCTAGACTTGAATATGGCTTTGAAAGTGCTTTGGCCTCATCTGCACTAGTCAACCAGATGGTGTCTGCAAAGAACTTGGCAGGAACAAGCTGTGGTGTAAAGGAACAGCACTAGAGAGGTGAAAGGTGAGGGGAGCCTGTCTATTCCAGTTTTCCATTGCTTTTGCACTGGTAGAGGGGTAGAAAAGCAGGATGCAGTGAGGCAAGGATGATAGGATCTTTGAAATTTTGGAAGAACATTTTAAATGTTCTCATCCCTGTTTTGAGAACTGCAGATTCCAGACAACGATAGGCCTGATTTCTGTCCCACAGCAGAAGTTATTTCTTTACTTTCTGTACAAAGAAGCCAGCTAAATTGTTCTGGGAAAGTCTTAGATATGACAAAACAATGGAACGACTTCTTTCAACAAGAATGAAAATAATTTGGGGAAACATAGTCACATGACTTTGGACAAATTTTCACAGTAGAGGAAGGGCTTTTTTGTCATATCAGGGTAAACACTGGGGCCACTGAAATAAGAAAATTGACAGCAGGCTGAATAGCTGACAGAGAAAAATGAATGCATCAGAGTGGAGAGCTCTGAAAATGGACTCTTTAGCTACAGCAGCACAGTATTCAATAACAGACGTACTACTGAGGTATATGTGCCAGGTAACAGTAAGCAAAAGATGCAAAAAATAACCCTTATGAAAATTCCCAAAGATATTTTTAATCAAAGATATTTTTAAATCAAAGATCAAATTTAAAAAGGCACCAGATAATGATTTAGAAATCTAATGGAGCAAAATGAAGCCTGTGGTAACACAGCAGACTCTGATTTCACTTCAGAGGTATGGAGCATGATTTGCGTAAGAACAGCAGTCATCTAGGGATGTTTGAGTATGGATGGGAATAGCTGGCAATCCCTACCCCCTCCCAGCTCAGGAATAGGTGGCAACTCAAAAGGAAAAAGGAAGGACAGAAAGATCTGTGATCTAATAAGATCCATGTAGAACTATCAGGGAACCTTTTATACAGCTAGTTATAGTGTTAGCTAGTGCAGAGAAATTAATAATCATAAGTACTTTTAGGGCATGTCTACATGCGATGCTATGTTGCTGTAGCAATGCACTACAGCCATGTAGCATCCATGGGTGTCTACGCATGACCAGAAGCTACTTCTCTGTAGCAGCGCACTCCCCCATTATAGCATGCTGCTATGGCAAAGTAGCTGCTAAAAATAACCATGCACCACACTTATGGCATAATATGGGCAGTTATTGTGCTGTGCTTTAGTACTTCCAAAAGGAAGTACTAAAGCACGGTGCATTAACAACATCACCATAGGGCAATGTGTGGACGTGCCCTTACATGCGTTTCATCATGCAAATCCCAGAGAGAAGCACCACAAAGTACAGGCTGTGGAAATGCCATCAAAGAAATACAGCAACTTTCTATTTTCTTTAGGATGAAGGACCAGTGCATTCTTCACTAGTCAACAATCTTGTTTCTATGAGCCCTTTGCCTCTCACAGCACTTCCCCTCTCCGCCCCCCACCCCCCATGTTCCTACCTGTTTGTATTCTAATTACTTACTCCACTATATACTCTGCTCTATGTTGTCCTTTCACAAGACCTGATGAAGTGAACTTGGGTTCACAAAAGCTTGTGTGCTTTCTCTCTGTGTATCTCTCTCTATATATATATCTTATTTAGTTAGTTTACAAAGGTGCCTATCTACCTGGCCCTCTAAATGGCCTTGTCATGCAAAGGGAAAGATGGATAGAAAGAGATGTCAAGCATTGCAGAAAGCTCTATTCTGTTTATATTTTTATACCTCAGTCATCCTAACTAGTGTATCTACATTAACTTAGAGAGGTAAGGATTATTGTGGTGATATACTTTATTGGACCATTTCCATGGTTGGGATACACTAAGACCTAAGTTTTCAAATGCAACATATTCAAAAGTTGCATGTAAAAACTTGCCTAAGTCTATTCCAATCATACAGTTTCATAGACACTGGGGCTGGAAAGGACCTCTCAAAATTGTTGGGTCCAGCCCCCTGCCCAAGGGGCAGGAAGTCAGCTAGGATCAAAGGATCCCAGCAAGACAGGCATCCAAATGTTTCTGTTTAGTTGATCCAATAAAAGATATCATCCCAACAATCCTTGCCCTTCACATTTCCTGGATCATCACAGAATATCATTCCAACACTATATTGCATTAGTACTTTTCTAACAGGAATAATTTCCTCAAACAGCCAGCAGATGGAGTAAAAGCTTTTACAGAAGCCATAAAATATATTAATTTTTTTGGACAAGCAAAGGGGAAAGGGCTCCTCTGCTCCTGTCTCTCATGAGATCTTAGTTTGTTCACTCTGTAAGTGAAGAAGCCTGTGTATATTTTTTCAACAAACAGGCTGGCTGTTGTGCACGTTTTTTATACCATTGCGAGGCTTCTCCTTCTTCTGTTGCCAGCCTATACTGTAGAAACATATCTTGCACATTTACATGGGGCTTGACTGGTAAATGCTTTGGGCAAGCTAGGTTTCCTAAGACAAAGCCATTCCCAGGAGTCGGAGGTGATGCCCCACCCAACTAGCGGTCTCAGAGGACTTCTGTCTCTGCCTCAGTACTTTCTGGGCACTGGAGGCATCATCACTAAGAGTGGGCTTGTTAAACTTGCTAATGCTCAGGAAGAATTGGGGCATTTCTCCATTCACATTCCTCTGAAGACATTTTCCCTCTGGGAACTGAAAGCAGGGTTAGCTAGAACACACCTCCCCAACACATACACAGGCCTGCAGCCTGTTCTTTCCAGCAGAGGCATGTTGCATATGGACCCCCAAGTACACCCACTAGGGGAAACCATAACTTGGCTCTTAACAAGGACAACTTCCTCAAGTCTGATGTCTGGTCTGAAAAAAAGAAAAGGAAATTGAGAGAGGATTTCATCCCTGCCTCTGAAGACATTACTTACCACTTACAGCCAAATTTCTCAAACAAACACAAGCCTGGCTTGAAACCTGAATATTGACAATTAAAAAAAAAGTGAAGAAAGTGAATATTTCAGCAACCAGATAGGTCAGCTAAAGTAATTTAAATAAATCTGAAGCACTAGCAGACTACAAAATTGCCTTCAAAGGATTTATTCAGAGTTTATTTGGCTTTTTTCAAAATCTGTTGGATAAATCCAGCATATAGAGGCGTTAGTTCAATTTTCACCAGCACATATACCTGGTTAATCAGTGCTAATCAGAGCTGGCTGAAACTTGGAATTTATGTTTTATGGAAACCCCTAATGTTCTTAAATCAGTTTTGCTTCCAGTTTGGAATATAGTCAAGTATTTTTATATATTGAAAATTATCATTTCTGGAAAAAAGTAATTTTGAAATCTTGATCTGAAAATTTGATTCAGATTGTAAAATTATTTTGATTTTTTTGGTTTTTGAACGTTATTTTATGGCATTTTCCACTTTTATATCAACTTTATATAATTTTAGGATGTCAGAAGAAATAGCACATTGTCTGACATCATAATATGATGTGATATAACTAATGAAACACTGTTTTCATTTTACTTTTTAAATCATTAAGGGCAGCTGCTACTTCATACTGATTTGCCTAGAAAAGAAGATAAGGGGTTTCCAAGGGTGCTGAGAGACATGCAGGCCCCTGCTCTAACTCATAGTGCTTTATATAAAGCACCATTAGTTAGATACCCACCTCAACCCAACAGACATATGCCTCTTGGGTCACAGTGGAACTAAGCCTGCTTGCAATGGAGTAGCTACCCATCTCCCCCAGCCAAGGCCCTGCCTCCCCCAAGCTCCAGTGCTGTCTGCAGAAAAGGGTGTGGGGAGAGGGGAGGTGAGTGAGTTGCAGGCTGGAGTTTGCCTGACCTGAACTGGAGGGGGAGGGGAACACCTAGGGGGAATCGCGAAGCAAGGGGGCTTCAATCCACACCACCCCCCCCCAGCTCAGGCCTGGAAAACCCCACCCTGCAGTTCATTCCCCACTCCCTTCCTGCAGATAGTTGTGGGGGCAGGACTGGGCTACGTCAGCCTAGCCTTGATCACACCACAGATTAATCCTAGGGAACAGAAGTTCCCTAAGGCATTCCAAAGTGGAGCATCTTCATCTGATCCCTCATTTGAAGAGGGTTAATATGTCATGCAATTGGCCACCTTTAAAGCGCTCTGCAGCCATGCTTGTGTGTCACAGCATGGTCTAGAGCACTTTCAGAGGGCCTATAGCGCGACAAATGTAACTTCTGTCTGTACCTCAAGTGTCTCCTGTTTAGGTTATATTACTATTGTGACATATCAGTAGTATTTAGTAGTACATGTTGTTAAACAGTGTAAAGATAACATAAGAATGAAACAAAATCTATAAGGTAAAATCCTAATTAAATTTTGAAATGTTCAAAGGGTTTTAATTTTTTTTCCAAAATGAAAATGTTCCAGAATATCTTCTGATTTGAAATATTTTTCACATTTAATTAAAACGTCACATTTTCAAAATGTTTCTTTTCAAACTCAAATTCAACTCAGCTGACGGGGCTGGTGCCTCCCCAATGGCCAACACTGATGCTGTCAGTAGGGCTGGTGCTCCCCCTGACAGGGTCGGTGGCTTCTGTGGGTGTGCCCCCTGATTCAGGAGGAACCAGACACTTGTGCATGGGGGGCTGCTGGAGCGTAGTAATTACCACGCTTCAGCAGACTCAGTTAATTGAGCCTGCTCCAACATGCTGTAATTACAGTGCATTGGAGCAGCCTCCCAGCATGTCTACAGGCACCCTTACAGCTTCATGGTCACCTAAAAGAATATCCATTCAGAGGACTGTGGATGATAGCAGCACTGAAGTTTAATATGCATTGTTTCTGTGTTAATATTTATCTCTCTAGGCTGAAAGTGGAAATTCCCTCCTTCAGGATGGATCCTTCAGGATTCCCTACTTCACCGTGAATCCTGTGGGATCCTGTATTCCTCAGGTTTCCATTACCCTTTGCTCACTGCAGCTTCTCTATAACACAGTTTCTACTGCAGGCATATTTTCTAGATGTTCTCCCTGCATTGTCCCCACATGAAGCATGGAAGTGAAAACAAACATAAACTACTGGAGACTTTCTGCAACAGCTTGTGCTGTTGCATGCCCTGGCCTTACAGATATTGGGACAATAGGAGGCATCATATACATAGATGTTTTTAACATAATCCGGGGCTAAACCTATCTATAGGCTTCCACATTTTCAAGGAAGTGAAGAAGAATCTGGGGAACCTTAATGATCTCTGTTCCCTCAAATGATCTATTTTGGGGCAAGTTGAGCTACATGGGCCACTCCCTCCTGTCTATGTTGCTCTGCTTCGTAAGCATGCAGGAAGCAGAGAAAGAGAGAAAAGTAGAGTACAGCCTGATTCCTACAACAGGAACAAGAAATGTGCATGAAGTGGTTTTGGAAATTAAGCCAACTAGTTGTCTATACCTCTATGCTGGCTCTAATTAGGAGCAGTGGAGACAAAGTACAGCACAGAAAGGCCATCACAGACACTGTACATGCTTCAGCAATGTTTTGCAAGAGGGAGTAAAATGGTATGGAGGAAGCTCAGTCTTGAGCCCTAATTCTCAGGAGAGCTTTAGGAGTGTGCTAGACTGTTGCCAGGACCAAACTAAGTAGTTCTTTTTAAACTGGATGACCAGTAGGTCAGAGCTAAATAGTGGGAGTAGCCCCTGGCATTAGTATAAATATACCCAGAGTTTGCCCTATATCCATACTTTACCCATATAGCATCCAACAGATGTGGAATTTGCTAACACAGAGAGAATGCTGCGCAGACTTGTCAGAACAAGATTAATTACATGAGCTTTACAGCTACACTAATAAATGCCTTGTCTACAGAGAAGCCTGAACCAAAATCCTAGATCTGAACACACAACACATATGGCAAACTCAGCTTCATAAGTAGCCTGCAGTTCTTGGAATGAGTCTGTCCAGATCTCTGGATGTGAGTGCACTTAAGCACTCCTACAGCTGAGCCCCATTTGTGTTTTCATTATGAAAGTAAAACCAATAAATAAAGTTTATTTTCAGAAAATTTTTTTCACATTCCACTGTTCAGACCAAGAAGGTGTGTTAAGCAATCTATACAATCAGGACTCATAGTTGAGATGATATCTTTTATTAGACCAACAAGATTTTTGCAAAAAAAATCTTTAATTGTTTAGCACACCAGTGATAGACCCTCCTTGGTCTATTAAAGGAATTAAAGCAATTAAAGAATTTTTTTTTGCAAAGATCTTGTTGGTCTAATAAAAGATATCTCTGCTATGAGTCCTGATTGCTTTATCCTCTAGACCAATATAGCTACAACCTGAATACCAAGCAATCTACACTGCATTTGGGGAGTCTCTTCTACTTTTGCTTTACACTATAATTGGGGAGCCTGGTCAATCTAGTTACACTCAGTGTGAATAAGCTATGGTGTAACATACACAATTAAGGGAGCATCAGGACATAGCTTGCTACTGTTGTTGCAAGTACACACCTCTCCCCGTATTCTCTTCTTTACCTTTTCCACAGATGAAGACAAGAGAGAAATGAGTGTCCGCAGAAGGAACCCTTCACCAGTTCTCAGCATCGCTTCATGGTGATGGGAGTTGACTGCCAGGTTGCTTAGAGCAGTACAACTGTAATACTGAAGAAATAGAGAAAGGATTGGAGTTCCAACAGCTGTTTCTTCTGTGCAGATGCAGCCTGCTCTCACACACCATCTCTTTAGAAGGCTTTATAGATTTAACCCTTCTAGGCTATGCCAGCCTACTTGTTCAGCTGGCTCACCACTCTGAAGTCTCTGCTGTTGCAACTACACTGCTACTGGTAGCTGTGATGTCTAAATGAAAGCTCATTTAGGTATATCTACATCAATGTAGCTTGGGAAGACATACTAAAAACCTGGTTACATTTCAGAGCAAGTTCTGAGGAGGTAAGCTTGAATGGGTAATACCTTATAGACTGGGAAGGAAGAGAAACTGAGGTTATATCTATACTGCAGGCACAGAAGTGACTGTGACTTGACACAGAAACTTGAGCTAGCTATTCCACCTGCAGCAGCACAGAGATCAGCACAGGGTAAATAAGCCCACACTGAGCTCTGGTCACTTCAGGTCAACTGCTAACTCATTTAAAACTTACTCAGATATCATTATACTATATTGAAGCCTGCAAGGTAGACATTCCCTCTTGCCCCTGTGTGTTCACACATTACCACAGGGGACAGTATATATGGTAACTACCTGCAAATATTTGAAGGCTGCAAAGACTAGGAAGGATTACATAATGAGATACCTGGAGATGTAATTACAAGTAATGAGCTGAAATAGAGAGGGCATTTTAACATGAGTATTTAGGAAAGCTTGCGAGGCTGAAATAGTTTGTGAAAAGTAGTTGTGATAGCTATCATATGGCACATAAGACTGGACAAAAAAAACAGAAAACATACCCTGAGAGACAGTCCTGTGTTGGCTAGTAGACAAACTGGATGAGCAAGCCAGTACTATCTATCATGTCTATTCTGATTGTTGTTTTTTCACCAGATTATTTCCTTAGAGAAGGGTGTAACTGTGTGTATATGTGCATAATCACAAAAGGGTTATATATGATCATGGGAACCAGTATTGCTCATCCTCTTTTCCCTTGCTGCTGAATTCAGCAGGGGAGGGTGGCAACGGAAGACAAACAGAAGCAGTGCTCATGCCCTGGGCTCTGAAGCTGTGTGAAATTAGGGGATGTGGTTAGACCCTGCACCGAACTGCTGGTGAGCTCAGAGTTCATGGCACAAGTGGAGCTCTGGCAGAAGCTGTACTGACATGACAGTGAGATCAGAAACCTCTCTGAAAATGTGGTGCGTGGGAAAAGGAGGGAGTGACTCTGCCACTGCATTCCCTTTGGATCCACCCCTGTTGGATGTTAATTTTGGGGGAAGAGTCTGTTGTGGACAGTGGATAGCACAGCAGGCCCTGGTCTAAAACAGAAGTTCATAGGTGTGACTGTAACACAATAAAGGATTTAAATAATTATAATTTTGTTATCATCATCATGTATAAAATGTATAACAACAGCAATAATGAATAGCTTCTTCTGGTGCAAAGGGTAATTCAAGAACGCAGAAGCCATTCAGTTTGCCCTAGGCGGTAGAAAGGTACCTTCACAGCACCTCTGTGTGCACATGAGCACATGCATTATCCTATCAGAGCTGAACATCTGTTCACCACGTTGGGCGTATTTCACACAACTAGATTCATTATGACAACAGCTCCTCTTGGTTCACTGAACAAAAGGTCTTATGTCCCTTATTTTTTCTATCTATCCCTGCCTGGATAAACCTCTAGTCATTATATTTTATTTCTGAATTCTAACAATTATGCAATCTCCAGGATGGCATACTTTGCTTTTATTACTTAAAAGCTGCAGTTTGGTTTAGCTCTACCTGCACTTCTGAGTCAGGAGACTCTAACAGCAAGGTAAGAACTGGGAGGGCTCCCTCCCTGCACAGGACTTGTTGGATCCATTCTGCAAGGCAAAAAAAGAGGACACATTTCAGTGTTGGGGAGGAAAGAACCCAGTGGATAAATTGCCTTCTCCCCCAACATAAAATCACATAGATATACCAGGACAGAAACTTTCTGAAGTAAAATGGATATGGACAGCTGATGACCACTCAGTAATTTAGATCATCCAGACACATGCAGCAGTAGGAATGACTTGAGACTGACACTCCGTAGAAGATAAAGTCTGCTCAGAAGCTGAAGGATCCCTTGTGAATAATGGCAATATAGAACCATTTTAGTCATAATGCCTGATTAAAAATGCTCAAGAAGTGCCAAGCAAAGGGCAGGTTCACAGCTGTCTGCTGTCTGCAGCTTTAAAACCCCACCTTAAAAAATAAATCAATCTGGATTCGTACAACAGTAGCAGTCTCACTCTCCCACAGCACAGAAAGGGACAGAGCAGCCCTGACAGTACTGTCCTGACAAATAGGATTTATTTCTACAGCATAATGTTTTTCCATGTTTTCTTGTCAGAATTAATGAAAAATAAGGTGACATACTATTACAGATGCCAAATCCTATTCCCAGTGAAGTCAATGGCAATAATCCATTAAGCTTGAATCAAACCTATTGAGCTTGTCTACACTACCTCTGTGCCATGCTTAAGAGTGGACCCAATTTGTGTGTACCAAACCCTGGAAAAGGCACAATGCAGCCACCATAAAGCAGATACCAGTGAGCACACCTGAATCAGAGGAACAGTTTCAAACAGTGACATTGCCTCATTTCAGAGTTTGGTGTGCAATGAATAGGGGTGCGTTGGCAGTGCATGAATCCTAGGGTCAGTACTGAGATGGTACAGTCATGTCCATAATATTTACCCTTATTTATATCCTGCAGCACCAGGTTTGGAATAGAAAAGTGTTTATACACATGCTTTGGGAGTGTGGGGGAGACACTCTAATTAGAGCACCTGGAGCGTCACATGTATCAGCGTTTTCACACTGAAAAATGGCTGCAGGGATGCTCGAGTGAGCTTTAGTTAAAGCGCCTCCACCACCAGTTTTTCAGCATGGGGATGCTGATACATGTGATGCTGGAGTATGGTAAGTACCATGCTCCAGCAGACTTGATTAAATGAGTCTGCTCAGATGCGCTGTAATTACAGCGTGTCAGAGCAGCCTCGCTGTATATGTATAGGTGTCCTAAGATAGTGAGTAAAAGTTGTAGCAGAGGTTGTCCTTGTTAGGTCACTGTGGGTGTGTCTACATGAGAAGCTTCACTGTGCACTAACATAGTTTACTGCTCATGCTCAGTAATCATGCACGTCTATACATGCACGCGTTTACTGCACAGCAAACTTCACTAATCACAAGTAAATTTGCTACCTGCTAATGCAAATAGCAAATTTACTTATGATGAGTTACTGCATGGTAGCACTCATGTAAACTCCTGACTGGGAGCAAATCTGCTCCTGGTCAGCCAGCTAGCAGTGGGCAGGAGATTGCTCTCTGCTGCAGGGGTGGGCTCCACCACCGGAGCCCAGGTGAGGATTATGTCCCCCCTGCCCTGGCAGCAGGGAGCTCCAAGCCCCCCACTCTGAGATTGTAATTGGGGAGCAGGGGCTGGGAGATCCTTATCTTCCAGTGCCAGCTCCATGGTCACGGGGTTGGCACTGGGTGATAAGGATCTTCCAGCGCTGGCCCTACAACTCAGAGCTGGCACTGGGAGATAAGGATCTCTGAGCACTGGCCCCACAATCATGGAGCTGGCACTGGGAGCTCCCTGGTGGTGGTGGCTGGGGAGTCTGTTCCCTGCCCAGCTTGGTGATCATGAAGCTGGGTGGGAACAGTCTCTCCAGTCCCTACCTTACAAGCATGGAGCGGGGGTGGGAACTGTCCCAGTCAGCTGTAGGTCCCAGGCCTGTGCCCCAATTGGGCAATCAAGGCACAGGGCTTGGAAAGAGCTGCATGGGTGGGGCAGGTCCCAGCCCCCTGCACCATCCGCCAGTGGGGCAACTGGTAGCATGCTCCCAGATGGGCAGGGAATCCCCACCCGGTTGGGGGCTCGCTGCCAACTGCCCCACTGGCAGATCAGGACAGGAGGCTGGGACCTGCCCCTACCCCTCAGCTCTTTCTTTGTCCCCTGCATTGATTGAGGAGCCAGGGCCAGGAGTTTCCTGCTGCCAGGGCAGGGGGACATGGTCCCCTCCCCAGCAGCAGGCAGCCCCCAGGGGCAGGGAGCAATGTCCCAGCCCTGGCCAGGAGGCAGCCCTCTCCTGGTCCAGTGCTCCCTGCCAGCCCCTGGGTTAATACCTAGGTGGAGCTTAGAGCTCCCCCTGGTGGTGGCAGGGGCCCAATGCAGGGCTCCAGGAAGCAGGAGTAGTTTGCTGCCATTAGTAACAAATCTGCTCTCACTTCCCTGCATGTGTAGATGCCTGCCTCCCGAGTAACTGCTTCTGGATCTAATGCACATGTAGATACATCCAGTCTATTTTAAAGAGTGAACCTATTCAAAAATCCATCAACACAAAAGGAGAGAAACTAATATCTGAAAATTCTGTCAGTCTCCTGAGTGGTGATTTGTTAGGTTGCAATGTAGCTTAACTGGGTTTGAAAAATCAAGGCTTGCTATCAGAAGTGTAACAATGCAGCCAGGCACCTGGGGCAGCTACCACACACGGCAGCTTTTGGTTGCCAGTGTGCGTGCAGCTGTGGTGTCAGACATATTTTTTAGATAAGCACTTTTTAGATGAACCATTAACTTGAAAGTACCTGACTGTGTGAGGTTAAGAATAGCTCCAGCTGCATTTTGTTGAACCCTAGGATCATAGGAGTTGGCCAGCGCCAGTAAAGGTATGACTCCTCCTACTGAAGTTATGGCCTCTCGGTTGGACTCTGGTGGGGGAGAAAACAAGGTAAGAGAGACGTAAGATCCTCTTTTTCAGTATATCTCCCTCTGACTCTAATAAGGCATGAAAGGGGAACTAGAAAGTAGCTTTATCTGTTGGCTTTACTGAAGTTTTACTAGATGTCACAATAATTTGCATGCTCAGAGTGAACCCACTTAAAAAAATTACAAGCACAAAAAGAAACTAATTTCTGGAAATTTGAAATAGTCATAAATCATATATGATTTGATGATGGTGAATGTTTGACAATTGACACGCACACTCCTCCTGTAATTGTAAGAGTAAAATATCATGCTATCTGGAGGTAACTTTACCTAAACTAACCATAAGGTTTCAAATTTACCTTAGGCTCTAGATGTGTCCTAACAAGATACTTATAATCCATTTGTGAGTAACATATAAATAAACAAATATATAATTGGAAAAAGGATTTAATTAATTTAGCAAAGTCAATTTGGTAGGCAAAAATCTGTCCTTAATTGTATCTATGTCACTTTGAGATGGCACGGAATTTGAGGACAGAATTTCACATGAGGGAGTTGCCACCCCCTCCCCATATCTCCCGGATGGGCCATGGCTCCATCCCGCACCCCACCCCATCCTGGCTGTGCAGGGTCTGGCAGGGCAGCCATGGGGGTCCCAGGGGCTCTGTCTCTTCTGGCCTGGTGGCACAGCTGAGACTGGCTCTGCTCTGGTCCCCCAGCTCTGGCCACCCCCAGGTGGTGTGGGACTGGGGCTGGGGCCAGGGCCAGTGTGGAGAGGCAGCTGGGGCTGAGCTGGGGAGTGACAGGTTTGTTGGCACCAGTGCCTGGAGGAAGGGGCGGCCCTGCTCCCAGGCCTGGCTTGGCTCTGCTCCCTCCTGATCGCTGACCAGCCCCATCCCCATCCCCATTTTCTCTCCCTCTTCCTCCCCACCTCCCCCCACAGGCTTTCCCGCTGGGGGGGCATGTGCACATATGCGCACACATGCTCATCCCCACCCCCAATTTTTCTCCCTCCATGTATGCACATGATTAAAAGTATCAAGGTTCTTCATTAGATGGTGCTTCCCTGCACTTCAATTTACTAATCTGTAAAACTGGTATTTGACCTATTCGGAGCACTGTGAGATTTTAACAAGTCCGAAGTCCATTGGGACTATGATAAAAAGCACTGTTCTTATTTATTTGTAACATTCTACCTTGTGGTCTAGTTCTTCTTGTTCATCACTAAATATTTTGGTCTGTGTGCGGTCAGCTTTTATTGGATATGTCTATACGAGATATTTATTGTGGAGATGCCTAATTAGCTCCTCAGTAAATGTTTCAGCACCTACACATGTGACTCTATTAGGCCTCTGTAAACTAATAAACTGTACCACAGGTTAGTACTTGTAAATACAAGTAATATTCTGCAGTAGAGTTTGTTAGTGCACAGTAATGCACATGTAGGGTGTGTTCAGATGCAGCATCTCAAATCCCTTTGAGATGCTGCAGGAGGCATGTGAGGGAACTGGAAAAGGTTCCCCCCACTGCAAGTTTGCAGTGTGGGGGCAAAATTAGACCCCTGGATATCCAGGGGTCAAAAAAAATGGAACACAAAAAAGAGGGGCAGGCAACCAGAGGCTGGGCATATCTGTGGTTGGCCAGAGCATCTTTGTGGTATGCCCTCGCTCTGGTGCTGAAGCATGCTGCCTGCCCATGCAGGGCAGGCAGTGTGCCAGCAGCAGGGCTCCAGTGCTCGTAAGTAAGGGGTCAAGGGGCCTGGAGGAGTGGGGAGGGGACCCCTGCTGGCCCTGCCTGCTCCCCCAGCTCCCCATCGCTTCGCTGCCAGACCCCATCTCCTGCCTCCCGCCCAACCCCCCAATCTCTTCCCTGCCTGGCCCCATCCCCCGCCTGCCCCCCAAGCCTCCCAATCCCTGCCTTGCCTGGCCCCATCTTCCACCTACTTCCCCGATCCCTGCCCCGCCACCCCAGCAATTAAAAAAACCCCCAAAAGTTCCCCTGGCACCTACCGGCAGTTTGTCAGGGTCACTGGG